AAAAAAAAAAAAAAAAAAAAAAAAAAGCGTAACCACAGTACCATGATTACATCTAGAAAAGTAACAATAATTCCTTAATATTATCAAATAATTCACATTTTTTTCTAAATTATAAATGTATGTGAGTGTGTGTATGTTTAAATAATAGTATGTTATTGTGTATGTTTAACAGTATGTTATTATGTATATTTGGGATGTTAAGTTAGGATCTAATAAAGCTTATACATAGAGATTATTATTTTGTCTCCTAAGTCTCTTCTAGTCTATAAACTTCATTCTCCATCTTCTATTTACCTTCGAAAAACAAACAAAATGTGTTGTTGAAGAAATCAGATTGTATGTCTTGCAGAATTTTTCATAGTCTATAATTGTCTAACTTCAATGACTTTATTTTGAAAACTCCTTTTTTTTGACTCACGGCATCTAGTCATCCTCTCATTTTTTCACCATCTGACCTGGTAGCTATTGTCCATATTCACTGGAGACTTTCCACCTGGATCATAGCCAGCCTTCCTTTCTATTTTATATCTGTTCCATTGAACAAAGTGCAACTGATTTACCCACTGCATCCCAGGCATTGTCCTGCCACCATCTGAGCTGACACAACTCAGGTTCAGGGTTCACGTGGAGATCCAACAGCCTAACCTTGCAGTTCCTTGGCCTCTAACCCCAGTGCACATCCTCTTGTCTCTTTCATAGTCACCCATACCCATGGTCAACCTCAGAATATTGTCATCACTTAGAACTGCTCCCCATTAGACATTTTAAGCTGAATTTTGATTATAGCCTCTCCCGTCCTTTCAGCTGTGCTACAACCCTAGTATAACTACATTATTTCTCAAAGAAATTTCCACTTACTGGTTGTTCCTTTTCTCCCAGTCTATAAGCCCTTTCTGTATCTCTTACTTTCCTATAACTACTTTTACCAACATTCTCAGTGGTCTTGCATTCTCTATTCTTTATTACAATAATCTGTGTTTAAGGTCAACCACATGACTTATCTTCTGTGTTCCTACAGAGTGACATAGCTTGAATGTTTGCCCCTCCAAATCTCATGTTGAAATGTGATTCCCAATATTGGAGGTGGGGCCTGTTTGGAGGTGCTTGGGTCATGAATGTGGATCCCTCATGAATGCCTTGGTGCTCTCCCACAAAAATGAGTGAGTTCTCACTCTATTAGTTTATAAAAGAGCTGGTTGTTTAAAAGAATCTGGGGGTGCCTCTCTCCCCTCTTTCTTGCTCTCTCTCACACCATGTGACATGTCTGCTTCCCCTTTGCCTTTCACCAATATGTAAAAGCTTCCTGAGGCCACAATGGAAGCCAAGAAGATGCTGGTGCCATATTTGCACAGCTTGCAGAACTGTGAGCCCAATGAACTTCCTTTATTTATAAATTATCCAGCCTCAGGTATTTCTTTATAGCAATGCAAAATGGAACAACAATGCAAAAAATTGGTACTGAGTAGTGGGGCACTGCTATAAAGGTACCAGAAAATGTGGAAGCAGCTTTGGAACTGAGTAATGAGAAAAGACTGGAAGAATTTGGAGGGCTCAGAAGACAGGAAGATGAGGGAAAGTTTGGAACTTCTTAGAGACTGGCTAAGTTGTGACCAAATGCTGATAGAAATATGAACAGTGAAAGCCAGGCTGATGAAGTTGGGAACTGGAACAACTGTCACCCTTGTTATGCCTTGGCAAAGGACTTGGCTGTATTGTGTCCATGCACTAGGGATTTGTGGAAGGCTGAACTTAAGAGTGATGACCTAGGTTATCTGGTAGAAGAAATTTCAAATTTTTTCATCATCTAATTTTTCACCACAAAGTGGTCAAGAAGTGTCATAGCTCCTTCTAACAGCCTAGAATCAGATATGGAAGCAAAGGAATGACTTAAATTTGGGACTTACAACTAAAAGGGAAACTGAGGGTAAACATTTGGAAAATTTGTAGCCTGCTGATGTGGTAGAGAAGGAAACAGCATTTTCAGGAAAGGATTCTAAGAGGCCTGCAGAACAACTACTTGCTAGAGAGACTAGCATGACTAAATGGGAGCCAAATGCTACTATTCAAGGCAAGTGGAAAAAGACTTCAAAGGCATTTCAGAAATCTTCCAGGTAGTCCCTTCCATTGCAGGTCCAGAGGCCTAGGAGGCAAAATGGTTCCAGTAGATAATCCTTGGGCGTTGCTGCCCAGAGCCCTTTATGGAAGCTGCTCCCCAAATTCCAATAGCTCCAGTTCTACCCTTAGCTCAGAGGACTCCAGGTACAGCTTGGGCTGCTACTCTGGAGGGCACAATCCATAAGCCTTGGTGGCTTCCATGTGATGTTAAGTCTACAGTTGTGCAGAATGCAAGAGTGAGGGAGGCTTGGCATCTTCCACCTAGATTTCAGATGTATTGGAAAGCCAGGGTGCCCAGGCAGAAGCCTGTGCAGGGGTAAAACACCCACAGGGAGATCCTACTAGTGCCAAGGGGAAATGTGGGGTTAGAGCCCCCACATAGAGTCCCCACTGGGGTGCTGCCTAGTGGAGCTGTGAGAATGGTGGAGATATGGCAGTGTGCATCCTCAGCCTGGGTAAGCCATAGGCATTCAATTACAACCCAGTAGGGCAGTCAGCATGGACAGTTCCCCAAAAAGCCATGGGGACAGGGATTCCTAAGGCCTTGGGAGCACACACCTTGCACCAGAGTGCTCAGGATGCAGGACATGGTGCGAAGGATTATTCTGGAGCTTTAAGATTTAGTGTCTTCCCTACTGAGTTTCAGACTTGCATGGGGCCTGTTGCCCTTTCCTTTTGGCTGATTTATCCCTTTTAGAATAAGAATGCTTACCCAATGCCCAAACCACCGCTGTACCTTAGAAGTAAATAACTTGTTTTTGATCTCATGGGTTCATAGGTGGAAGGAACTTGCCTTGAGTCTCAGTTTTGGATGAGACTTTGGACTTTGAAACTTTGAGTTAGCCCTGGGATGAGTTAAGACTTTTGAGGACTATTGGGAAGGCATGATTGCATTTTGCAGTGTGAAGGACATGAGATTTAGGGGACCAGGAGTGGAATAATACAGTTTGGATGTTTGTTGCCTCCAAATCTCACGTTGAAATGTGATCTCCAATACTGAAGGTAGGGCCTAGTGGGAAGTGTTTGGGTCATGGAGGTGTAGCCCTCATAAATTGCTTGGTGCCCTCTTCATAGAAATGGGTGAATTCTTGCTTTAGTAGCTCCACAAAAGATAGACATTTAAAACAGTTTTGTGCCTCGTTCCCCTTTTTTGCTTCCCCTCTCACCATATGATGTGCCTGCTCTCCCTTTGCCTTTCACCATATGTAAAAGCTTCCTGAAGCCTCACCAGAAGCCAAGAAGATGCTGATATCATGCTTGTACAGCCTACAGAACTGTGAGCCAAATAAAACTCCTTTCTTTACAAATTACCCAGCCTCAGGCATCCCTTTATAGCAATGCAAAGCAGAGTAACACACAGAGATTGCAGAAAATCCTACAACATAGCCTCAATACCTCCCAAGTATGCTTTCGTCTTTTCCAGTTAGTTACTTCTTCCTTTTCCAAAAGAAACAACCTCCATTTTTCTCTAATGCTTCCTGAAATTCACCACTCAAATCCTTAGCAGATAATATTATTCCCTCATTAAGAACAAAATTAGGAATTATATCTAAATACGTAGAAACTGGAACTGTCCTGAATGCTGTATCCATTCTGTTGATAACTTGTGCTGTGTTGAAACTTGTACCTCCTTGGTTTCCATGACACTTTTTTTCTCCTAACGTTTTTCCTGACCCTCTGCTATTCCTTCTCATGGACGCCTTATCCTTTCTCTCCGCCTTTTAAAAGTTGGTGGTAATCAGAGCTTCATTGTTTGCCCATCTTTTCTCTTATTCTATTCTGTTTTATTCCTCTATGATCCTAACAACTCTGAGTTTTACTTTCCAACTGAATGCTGACTCCCAAATCTCTATTTCTAATTCACAGATCTCTCTACAGTTTCCTACTTCCATATGAGCTGACTTCCAGACTGCTATCCACTCAGATAGCTGCGCAGAATCAATAGCGTCTTTCTCTCACACATTGCTCCTTTCACATTTGCTTAGTTGTTGGCACAACTATCCCCTTTGGCATGCAAACAGAAACTGGGAGCCACATCAATTGCCTCATCTCCATGCCCCCTTTATCTCTCTAATCTACTACTCTGTCTTAATTCAGGCTGCCATAATTTCTTTTATCTTCGAACAGGTCCTGGTAACTATGGCTTTGTGCCCTTCAAAGTCTCCTCTTCATTGTTGTCAAGATCTGAAAGGCCCATTATTTCCCTTCTAAAGCTTCTCAACAGACCCTAGCCCTCCAGCAGAGAGCACGGTACTCTAATGGCACACACCAGGGAAAGGATAACCATGGCCCTGGCTGGCTCTCCTTCTTGATTCTCTAAATAAAACATTATGTTCCAGTAACAAAGAACCATGTTTCATTTTTTTGAGTCATCTCTTGAACTTGGCCATTGTTACTCTCAAATAAATTTATAAATCATAACTGGCTAGTGAGCTTTAGTAGAAATAATTGTAACATAGTCCTTCAATTTAAAAAAATGTCCTACCTTTTCTTCTTTACAACATTTAATAAGAATTAGCTTATGGAAAGAACTCAATCCTGCACTCCAAGGATCCTGGTGTGAGGCCTCCTTTTCCTGTCTCATGTGTTTCTCTTCGTGTTTCATTTTATAATAGCCTTCCCATTCCTGTGGGTTAATATATGTCTCAAAAGATCCTGGAAATACAATTTAAAAAGATAATTTAATTAGATTTGTTTTGACTTTGAAATTAAATTATGTTTGGTAATTTAACAATATCTCTATATTTACTATCAGTTTTAACCACAAATATACTCTAAATACATCAGTCTCCCCTGCTACCCAGCCTAATAAAAAAGTAAGTAATTTAAAATGTAATCAGAAAACAGCAGCAAACCACTTACAAAAAATGAAAACAAAACAAAATAATAGAAAGGTTAAAAATAAAAAGGATGCACAGAGATACTTAAGCAAATGTGAGTGAAAAGCTTTAAGTGATAAGAGTTAATATTGGGTTAACTAGAATTCAAAGCAAATATAATTAAATGGGACAAAGTAGGTTCTTATATTAATTAAAATAACAAATCCATAGAAAAAATGAACCCTCGTGTGTCAGAAAATAGCTAAAGATATGTCAAATAGTCACTGTTGGAGGTAGAAGAAAAGGCAAGAAAAAAAATAACATCAGTCTATGACAAATGAAGTAAACTGAAAATTCTGGCATATATAATTTGAACAATATAAATAATAGCTGAATATATTGACATATTTACATTATACCCTAATAAACAATATATCATCCCCTGCTCCCTGGCTATAGAATATTTATAAGAAATGGATTTGTATCTTATATGAAGATTAAAGTCATAGTTAGCTTTTACAATGGTTCTAACATGTACTAAGAATTAGCATTGAAATTTCTGTAGGTACAGAGTGCATGTGGTATAAACCTTTCAGAAAGCCAAAATAACTAATGTCTTCTCCAGTGAGGAAACAGGTTTCTTGGGTTGGCCATTAGGCGCAATTGCTGGCTTGCATTTCAGGCTAGAAAACAACTTTCTCTAGCTTGTCTGCAGGGGCTGTCCTCTGGGGGCTTAATCATAGCAATCAGAAAGCTAGTGACACAAAAATTTGGTGACACTTCTGACCGTGGCCTTGGGGTAGTGTTCATCTTTGCAAGACTTCTAATTTATATGTGGAATATAGACAATTATAAGGCATGAGATCACAAGGCACACCACACCACATTACTCTTTAGTTAAAGGTCTTGGCATTATTCTGAAAACCAGGTAGCAGAAGCATGTGTTGCAAAAGGACAACTTTTCCAGTGAGGTTCTCATTATTTATTGTGTAAGCATTAGGACTCCAGCTAAGATGGGAGAAAATAATGCATAAAATATGCATTATAAGATGGGATCTAATAATGCTTTATTTATTCATTTGGAGACAGAGTCTCACTCTGTTGCCCAGCCAGGAGTGCGGTGGTGCAATCTCGGCTCACTGCAACCTCTGCCTCCTAGGTTCAAGCAATTTTCCAGTTTCAGCCTCCTGCACCACCATACCAGGCTATTTTTCTGTATTTAAGGAGAGATGAGGTTTCACCACATTGGCCAGGCTGGTCTCCAACTCCTCAGCTGAGGCAATCCACTTGCCTCAGCCTCCCAAAGTGCTAGGATTTCAGGCATAAGCCACTGAGCCTGGCCAATAATGTGTATTTTAAATGACAAATCCCAACTGATAGGACATGAAACACTTAGAAATCATGAAAGATGAAAGAGTAAGGCAATTAGGAAGTTTCTGAAGGTAAGATTGACAATGGAATTAAATATTAAACATCACTTGCAAAGATCTAAAGTTCACTTTTAGAATGCCAGCCATCCTATCAAACATGTACAAACCTTCATAAGTCTATAGCATTTCTGGAATAAACCTTGAAATCTAACACATAAAAGCAGGAAAGTTTTTTAAAATTGTTGAAATTTTAGTCTCAAGGACACAGATAACACATGGAGCATTTTATTAAAAAATTATGAGTTGTCCCTATAATTACTTTGCTTTTCAACCTCCATGCCCTCCGTGTTCTTCTGCCTTTATGTATATGAGGCTCCATCTATCCCTTTCTGTTTTGGGTCTGTCCCTAACTATCCAGCTCTGGGCTTCTCCTGTAAGAATTTTTCTTTTTGTGTTTTACATATACCTCTAGATGTCTCATTTAACTCGTGCATAATATAAAAAAATTTTTTACTAGGGGGGACAAAAGACTAGGGGGGAAACTTTTCAATAAGTTGATGCATTTATTGAAAAGCTTCTTACCCCCAGTCTTCATTTAGAAATCCAATAAATATGTTAGAGTCTTAGAAATTCTGGTTCATGCAGCCTTTAAACCACCACCCTTGCTGGGTACACTTAGTTAAATAAATATTCATATTAGAAGTATAAGAGTAATTACCAAAAAATAAAAATAGAATTTCAAATCAGTAGAGGAAAACATGAAAAGAGTGTGGATGATCCTCCTGAAGAAGGAAGGAAGGAAAGAAAAAAGAAAGGATTAAAGGAAAGGAAGAAGAAAGAAGAAAAAAAGAAGCAAAGAAAAAGCTAGCAAGAAAAATATGCCCCAAAATAAAGATGACCAATGTAAGTCTAATTAGATTAGAGCTTCTTAACTTTACTAATACTAACATTTTGGAAGCTGTAGTTATTTGTTGTGGACGGTTAGCATGTTTGAACTAAAGGTCACATATGGAAACTTGCATTCAAGAAATGACATGCATGGAATATTTTATATAAATGAAACATGTGCCAGGCTGCAAAGGAAGTGTATATAATTCCAAAGAGTCAATTTCATAAGAAGCATGAGTATAATTTCCATAATGCAATTAAATTATAAACAACAAAAAGATGGCCCCCTAAATCCTAAAATGGTTTTGAACTAAAAAGTGTAGTTTTAGAAGTGAAAGGGCTATATATTAAAACTTGTAGGGAAAAATTAATATATAATGTTATAATTCAGAGTAGTTGTCACCTTTGAGGAAGAGAGAAGGGAGACAGAATTAAGGGGATTCTGCTGGTACTGTTCTATTTCTTGATCTGGGTGATGGCTCATAAATAAATGTACACAGTTTGTGATAGTTAATCAAATTGTATAATTTTGATTCGCACACTTTTCTAGATGTATGTTATCCTTCAATAAAAAGTTAAAAAAACCTATGGGATGCAGCTAAAACAATACACAAATGTATATTTATATTCTCAAAAAATATATATATACACAAAATATATAGGTATGTATGTGTATATATATATAAAATAGTAAACATGAAATATTGAAAAGTCATAGGCCGAGAATTCAGCTGAAGAAATTGTGAAAACAATTCACAGTTTCTTAGAAATGAAGGAAGTTGCTAGTGAAAAGTATTGACAGTGCAGAAGAGGTTAAAGAAAACATTAAGATTAGGATTCAAGCAGATTCTTTTTGTCACATTACCTAAGCGTATGCAAATAGGATGTGACAATATATTTTGGGTAAGTCCATGAAAAACTGGAAATGATTCTTCCAAGTCACAGCATGCAAACCATGTAGCAGTAAGCAGCCAGGGTGCTTCAGGCTTAGGTGGGCGTTCCTATTTGAAGACAGAAGGAAAATGAATAGTTATTCACAAAGGCAATCCAAAATATACTTTCACCTTGTCCAAGTGAAAAATCAAGCTCTAATAGTATGTTAAAATAATCATTTTCCTAGGAAAGGTAATACAATATGGTGAAATAGCAATGGTGATGAATCAATTCTAATTTTGGACCTTTGCACAGAAGTATAGCTGCTAAAAACTTTTCAGATTGACATTTACAGAAAACAAAGCTGATCAACTAAATCTGCCACTTTCAGCCTGTTTTCCAACACCCTGTATCAATCTTTCCCCACTCGCCAAATGTTCCTATGCTTAATAATTTTTCTCTAGAGAATAATTTTTCTTTAGAGAACTAGTCTCCAAATCAGATTCCCAGATGTTCTCACCCCCAGGAGATGCAGAAAGCTGAGTATGGAACAGTATCAGTAGCAAGACAAATGCCAACCTTGTTCCAGCTGTGGTAAGTGTTTGTCTAATTATTTTAGATATTCTTAGAAACTTCTGGGAGAAGTATTATGCCATCTGGCAATATTCCATGAAGCACTTGTATATGGGCAAACAGTTTTAAAAGAGACAGAGAAACAGCTGTGATTGTAAGACTGAAGCTAGTTCTTTAAAATTTCCTGAATATTTGTCTGAGGTTCCTTACTACATTTAAAAACAGGTTTATTGAGATACCATTCATACTAAGCAATTCAACCATTTGAAGTATATAACCCAATGATTTTAATATATTCACAGATACGTATAACCACCATCACAATCTAGAACATTTAATTTCTCAAAAAGATACTGTGTACCCTTTAGCTTTTACTCCCCTTTAATCCCATCCCTTCAGCCCTAAGCAACTGCTAAACTACTTACTGTCTCTATAAATTTGCCTATTATGGGCACTTCATGTAAATCAAATTATATAATATGTGGGCTTTTGTGATGGACTTCTTAGCTTAGTGTTTTCGAGGTTCATCCATGTTGTAGCATGTATCATTTAACCAGTAAATACAATGGAAAAATTCCAAAAACCGAAAAAACTCAAAATCTGAAACACTTCTGGGCCCATACTCAACCTGTAATGCATTGTAGCAACTCTAAGCATGCACCCCCTCCCCAAAGGCTTGTTATTGTTACTGTACTTGCTTATTTGTTTAACAACTGAGTGGATTATTTTAGTGGAGTCTCCCCACAACCCCTGCACAGCTTGAAGCCTCTAATGTTGCTTCTCAAGCGGTGCAGCCTTAGGAATGGCACAGTTACCCCGTGATGATCATAGTTTTTTCAGGGCTCTTTTTGGTAGTTTCTTTCCCCGACTGCATCTAGCTGCTAAGCACCACTAAGAGTGGGCTGATTGCCCTGACGTTTTTAACAGTGCTCTTGGGGACATACATTTCTCCTCAGACTAAAACATTCAAAGCTTGGCCCCTTTGAAGGAGTTGCTGAGATCAGTGTTTGGGTTTTCTTCTGGTCTTTGGCAGGCCTCTCTCTTAGTGTCTTCTCTTAAGTTATCTCTGGCGAATGAGCTGGCTTATAGCTTTGTCTCTCTGTCCAGTAATTTCATCAATCTTTCAGTAGCTGTTCACTACAAACTTTATTGTTTTAGAGAGCATCATTAGGCTTAAACTTTTTCATACTCTGTTGGAAATGAAGTCAGTTACCTGTGAGGAGATAAGGAACTATCTGTTTTATAGGCTGCTTCTCCCACTCAGGCAAAATCTCCAAGCCAGGGGCACGACAAAGCTGCACTTTTTGCGGAGTCATATTCTAGATCTAGGAGCTGAGTATGCCATGGGTGGGAAGACAGTAGCCTCAGGTCTCCTCAGCTTGCCTCTGCCATTGAGGAACTACTATCTTAGGAGCTGGGACAACAGTGATGATGCACTGAACACGGAGCCCCAGTTTCCCAGTGAGGGCTGGGTGGAAGAAGGCAGCCCCACCTTTTGGCTCTACTCAACAGGAACTTATCCTCAGCAGCAGGTAGCTGTGGGCAGGATGAGAAATGCTGATGTCCTGTCCTCCTCAGGAATATGTTCCTTTAACTGGCAGCAGGGAGTAGGCAGGAGCCCTGTGCTCTTAGCTGCATCAGTCTGGAGCGCAGTTTCTATCTCACTAAGCTGGGAGCAGGAAGCGGGGAGCGGGTCTAGGTTCAAAGACCACAGACTCTCGCTGTCCTTCCTGAACCTCTAGTAAATTTTCTCAAATAAATGTTTATTCATTTGCTATATGTGACAGGGACCATTTCCAGATACTTTAAATGATGCTTATACAATTTTCAACAGTTTTGCTGGGGAGCAGGTTGAAGATCCTTACACCGTCATGCTGGAGGTGGCATTTCCCTAAGTTACATCTTGATCCTAGATAAACCCTTCAAAGACTCTTAGATTAGTTAACTTTCATAGGCATTTACAAATATCTAGTACTCAATTCTGAGTGGTTTTGCTGTATTTTGATCTCTAATAAGAATCTGTAAAACAAATTACTGGTCACTTGTTGTAAAACAAATTACGGGTGTAAATTTTAATGAATTTTCCAGGAAATAGATTTCATGTAAAGTTTTCTGGGTATGCTATTATATACTTGCATCACTTTTTAGATTCCTAGCATTAAGAAAAAATGCTTTAAAAAAAGCTTGTTGGCTGGGTGTAGTGGCTCACATCTGTAATCCCAGCACTTTGGGAGGCCAAGGTGGGAGGATCATGAGGTCAGGAGTTCAAGACAAGCCTGGCCAAGATGGCAAAATCCTGTCTCTACAAAAAATTAGCTGGGCATGATGGTATGCGCCTGTAATCTCAGCTACTCAGGAGGTGGAGGCAGAGAATTGCTTGTACCTGGGAAGTAAAAGTTGCAGNAAAAAAAAAAAAAAAAAAAAAAGTGCTGGTCCAACCCACGGCCCACAGGCCACATGTAGCCCAGGATGGTTTTGAATGTGGCCCAATACAAATTTGTAAAGTTTCTTAAAATATGATGTGATTTTTTTTTCCTTAAGCTTATCAGCTATTGTTAGTGTTAGTGTATTTTATGTGTGGCCCAAGACAAATCTTCTTGTTCTAGTGCAGCCCAGGGAAGCCAAAAGATTGGACACCCCTGCTTCAAAACATCATCATTTGAAAACATAACTTGTCTAGACTGAATATAGCCAATGAGAATAGCCTGGAGACCTCAATTTGCAGAAATCCGTTTATCTTGTCCACATGTGATAGAAACCTGCAGATACTTGAAGCTTTGTGTATTGGTTCCAGTTGTTTTCTGTTTGTCCCTGAACTCTAACTGTTGTGGTTCGATCCTGGAAATAGCCACTTCTGCTCATGCCAGCCAGTGGCCAGTTGCAGCCCCGGGCATCTCCCCCACCTTTTGTTTTTGTTGCCACCTTCTAGAAATCTATGTTTTGCTTATCTGGATTTTCTTTATCTAGTGTTTCCAGTCAACTCCAGATTCTATGGGGCATATATCTCCTTCCTCTCTCTCTTCCCATCCTGGACACTCATCTTTTACTCTTTTTAGGTCTCTTCCAGGGCCCTTTTGTTGCACCATCGCCTTACATAATGATATAATCTTGTCATAGGTGTTTGGAGCTTGGTGCACATTTTCCACAGAAAAAGTTTTATGCATGGAAGTTCCTAGGTTATTCCAGAAAAATCTAATTTAGATCACAAGGAATGTGGCAAAAAACAATGTAGCACTTCTGATAAAAATAGAAAACACTAGTGTCAAAACATTAAATGAAGTGGCCATATAAAATACATTCCCAAATATATTTCTAAAAAAATAATCAGTCAAGAATCATTCAAATTTCCTCATGGTAGAGGAAAACGCAGTTTAATTAAAAATAATTCAGATCAGTTTCTGATGTTTAAGTTTGATGGTATTTAAAAACATAGTTTAAACTTTCCAAAATATGCTGTTCACGAGAAGTAGGTGGTGTTGGAATGGACATGGGCTTTGGGAGTTTAGACACAGGTTTATCACACTGTGTCATGCATTAGTGTGATTCTGGAAAGTTCTTTAACCTCTTTGAGTCCCTGTGTGAGAAAACTGTAAGCAGAGCTGTTGACAAGGCTGCAGTGAGGAAGGAAGGGTGAAAGCACACAGGGCAGGGCCTGGCTGAGTGATTGGCTAACAATCAGCAGTGGGGTGAACTGGTTGAGAGAGCAGACTTTACAGACTGCAAGTGTTCAAATCCTGGTTCCAGGTCTTATTAAGCATGTGATCAGGACAAGTTACTTAACCTTTCTGTGTCTAATTATCTTATCAGGCTAGAGACACAAATTAGGAACTTACTTCAGAAGAATACTGAGAGGAATAAATGGGTTGATATACATAAAACACATAGCAAGCTCTCTGTGAATATGAACTGTGATTATAAGACACATTAAGAGAGGAGTCACAGAATATGTATGTATGCAAGATGGATGGTGGTCAGGGAGGAAGGAACATCTGGTGGAGAGGTCTTGTCTGGGCTTTTTCTGGGAGCATGGGGTGCTGAGAGTCAAATAGAAGCCTCAGGTTCAACCTCCTAGTGATACACTGGGGCTCAAATACTGGCGAGCAGGTGTAGACATCAGGTCTGTGGGGGCCATGGGCAGGACTTGAGATTTGCAGTGTTGGACAGAGCCAAGAATTTAGAGTGGAGCAGAGATCAAATTGCAGGCAAAGTTTCATCTCTGCTCCACTCTACATTTGTGGGCCACTAGTTTGTGGTATGTGCGTGGGTTAAGCCACTTTAAGGGACTGGAGCAAGCAGGACAAGCAGATGAATATGAAGAAGGGAACTCGTATTATAGAAAGTGACAATCAAGTTATTTTGTCACTTCCCATGCTTTATAACGAGAGATATCTCCAGGCAAGAGAGGGTCATGGTTTTTAAAAAACTATTGCTAAGTCTGTGAATTACAACTTTTATTGGATTTTAGCTTTTTATGTTTGTAAGAGGGTCAGCTTTGCAAAACATGTTCACTTCTACTAGCTCACTGGTTACCCCAACATTCCTTTTCGATAGATGAGGACAGTGCTCCATACAGAGGTTAAAAGATACATTACACAGCTAGTTGGTGGCAGAGCTGAGTTATAACCTGGGTCTTGTCACCCCAGTTCCCCTCCACTGGGCCACACAGCCAAATGTATGACCTTCAGCCACCAGAGTCACCACAGAGCACTGGTAGGTGCTTGTGGCCTCTATCTAGACTAACGATCGTTGCACCGGTCTGTTTTCACGCTGTTAATGAAGATATACCTGAGACTGGGTAATTTATAAAGAAAAAGAGGTTTCATGGACTCACAGTTCCAGGTGGCTAGGGAGGCCTCACAATCATGGCAGAAGGCGAAAGGCACATCTTACATGGCAGCAGGTGAGAGAGAATGGAAATAAAGCAAAAGGGGTTTCTTCTTATAAAACCATCAGGTCTTATGAAGCTAATTCACCACCACGAGAACAGTATGGGAGAAACTGCCCCCATGATTCAATTATCTCCCACCAGGCCCCTCCTATGGCACATGGGAATTATGGGAGCTATAATTCAAAATGAGATTTGGGTAGGGACACAGCCAAACCATATCAATCATCATCTAAGTGGGAAATAGGTACCTTTTCCAGTCCTGCAGAACCTCGGAGAAAGAAATTCCATTCAGCATCAGTTAGAGTTCCTTGCTGACGCATGATCTCAACACAGAGCATAAAGCTATAGATGAGTTTATGTTGTTCAAAAAGTCCTCTTGAAACATTGACATAAGCAGTTAGGAGAGTTTGTTCTAGTAGTATGACCAGGCGCTGTTGCAGATTTTCTGTCTTTACAGACGTTTCAATGGTGGTATTGAACAACTGTGTGAAAAAGAGCTGTATCAATGCCTCTGATTTAATTCATTCTCTGTGGAGAAAAAATAAAAAACCACTCTATCTCCCTTGCTAGCATTCAGTGAGTAAATGGCAGATGAGAGATGAATACAGTAAGTCTTCAATGTGGCCAGTAGGTTCTTGGAAACTGAGACTTTAAGTGAAATGAATGCACAGCAGGTCTTTGAATTATGAACAACCTTGCTTTCGAAGTCATTTTGCTATTATATTGATAAGACCAAAAAAACCTGATTTCATTATATGTCATTTTGCTTAACAAAGTCACAGTCTCCAAGAACCGATCCACAACATTGAGGACTTACTGTACTATGAAAAAGTCCAGAATTCATCCCAAAGTGATATGTGCTATTTGTTTTCTACACTCCCCCTTCTCTCTTATTTTTTAGCAATGGACCAATGCCAAGCTCTTGACAATATTTAAAAGGCATCATCTTGATGTGAGACATGAAACTTTGGAGAATGAAGGTGAGCTGGCAGGACCAGTTTTTTCACATCTTCAACCCAGATTTGACAAACTCTTCACTTTGGGGTGACAGATGTAACAGCAAGGTAAGCTCATGCTTATTTCCTAGCACTTCCCCAAGATAATTCTTAGCGTGTAGAAACAATGTGCTAGAATTTTCATTGAAATGTAAGAGAAACTGATTTTAAAGGAGATTTCTATCCTGTTTCCTACCTGGAAGTTTTGAAAGGAGAATCAGTATTCCAAAGGTACCCCATATTATAAAGATATGGCAAGGCAGTAGAGATGGTAGCATTGAAGGATTAGGCCTGAGGTAGCCCTCCCCATTTTCTGCAACTTCTAAGTGGAGTGGAAGGAACATCAAAAAATTCCTAAATGCCCCAAGCTGTGTGAGGAAGCTGAACAGAGCTTGAATGTGTGGCCTTCTGTGGAAGTCACGGGGCAAGGGGATCTTGCAGCAGAAACTCAGGGGAAGTCCCATCAGAGTCCTGAGGGGCATGTGGTTGCAGTCTCAGGATCCACAGTCTGAGGGGTAAAGGTGGGGGGTGAGGCAGTACCTGCCCAATCCCTGGGATCAAGATATATTGTTCATGGTGAGGGCAGATGGATCAAAACAGACTGGCAGCTGGAAGCCTGCTAAGGACCAAAGCAAATCAGAGTCAAGAAGTGTCCTCTACTCATTCCTAGAAATACTGTGCTGAGGCTGTACAGGCCTTTCCTACCCACCCCTTCTACGAATAGGATGGAGCACAAATGGAAAATGGCCTGACTGTGTCAGTCTCCTCAACAAAATAGGTCTCCATTCCCCAAAGTTAAAAGGGCTTAGAGGAAGCCTACAATTATTGTAAAGTCCTTGTTAATTTTCCTGAAAGCTTGGTTGACAAGGGTAATAGATTTTTGTTTTAACACATTCAGGAGAAAAGAGAATTCAGCCTTCTTTAACAATCTGCTAAGAAGCATAGAGGTTAAAGCCCAGTGAATATGTCATAAATATGGTACCAAAATAAAACATGGGAAATCTCAAAATTCCCTAAAGAATTTCACTGTGAAATGGGTTTGGCAGAGGGTATCCTGGCCAAGGCTGTCACCTATAGATATGTTTTGGATTTCTGGTTTCCCTTCTAATCCGTAAAACTCCAGAGCTTTGATGATTCATCCTATATCACTTTTACTTTCAGCCCAAGATATTTTAGGATATCTTCACTTTTATTTCTTGAAGGAGATTTTAAAACCCTGAAAAGCATAAATTCTAAAACACCCAGGATAAGAAAAGCATTATCAAAAAGTCATTTAGGTGGCATTAAAGGATTTGCTAATTCTTATTTTGCTTGGGTTAATACCTGTTAACTAAAGGAAGGGAGCAGAGATATGAGAACCCAAACCCTTGTCTCTAGGAATTGAGGTTTGAACCCAGCACAGATGGTTTTTAAAAGCTGCTAAAATGAACATCTTGTTGAAAGACAGCCCAGGCCTATCTAAACAACATGACTCCCATTTCTTTCAATTCCTCCTTTCCATTCTCTCCTAGAAATGGAAATTGCTCCTGGACCTCCAACTATTACCAAGGGTACTAAATAAGACCTCTAGAGGAAAAGCCAAGCTTGGTCTAATGTCATAAGAATTGTTTGAATACTGGAAATTCAATAAGAATTACTGGAATGTTATATGCAGAGATCAAAACAGACTCTTTACGAAACACTCATGAGTGTTATGTGGTGCTAAACACCATTGGGGATATGGGATGGGTGAGGCTTCATTTTTGCCTCCTGGGAGTTCAGATTCCAGCAGGAGAGAGAAGGCAACCACCCAAGACAATGTGGGGTAGCGTGATGCCATATGAAGCACATAAAATGTTTTGGATAAAGACTGCTAAAACTGTTTGCTATGCCTCCTCCCATTGAGAACTAGAGTCTAAATCCCCTTCTCTCAAACTTGGACTTTCCTAGTGATTTGATTGACCAACAGACTGTAGCAGAATTGATGTTGCATGAACTTCAAGGTTAGGTTAGAAGAAGCCCTGGAGCTTCCACCTTGGTTTCTTTGGATGTTTGCTTTGGGGAGAGGCCCTCTTGGAACCCACTTGCCCTGTACTGAGAAGCCCAAGCTACACGGAGAGGCCACTGCAGGTGCCATGGGTGACAGCCCAGCCATGTGAGCCAGCCATTTTGGATGTCTATTCTAGTCAGCCTCCAGATGTTTGCAGCCCCACCAGTAGGTTTTGGTCGAGAAGGTGGCATTTAGGTTGGGAGTGAAGGCATTCTAAAGAGAGGGAGTGTCAGAAACACAAAAGCATCCAGTTAATCTTGGGAATGGAAATAGATCAATTTGGCTATTACAGAGGAGTCATAAGAAAGGTGACTGGAGAGATGAAACAGGGACAGGCTGGATGTGGCTTTGAATTCCAGGCTATAGAGTCTGAATTGTGTTGATGGGAAATACCTGTGAAAATTCGTTTAGGACCTAGGTCTGTGGAACAGTGTTTTGAAAACACTAGGCCTAGACTGGCCTGCTTCCAGGTGTGTGAGCCAGCATTGACTATCCAGGGACATGTAACAGGAAATAAAGATGTGTTGCAGGGAAAGAGCATTATGTTCACAATTCTCCACTGTTTTCTACCGAGTGGCATGTAAGGAGGGAGAGGCCTTTGTTGGCTGAGTTGTGTCATGGGTAGGGTATGAGTATGGATGAACAGAAAAGTCAAAGCAAGTTAAACTGCTCTGCCCAGAAAAGGAGACAGCACTGCCAAGAGACTCAGCCAGGGAGGTTATGGTGGGATGGGCTGAGAGGAGGCCATAGACACTTGAGAGAACCTCTGGAGAGAACCTCTGGAGAAAGCCTCTGATGCAGTTGCTGAGTAGTGACTAATGCAAACTCTGTCTCCCCGGGAGTCTTTAGCAAAATTGACATTGCCTGCTGAAGCTTTGTGGCATTGAATTTGCTTTTGGGAGAAAAAAGAATGCTGCTACAAAGAGGATAAGGGGTGAAAACATCCTACTCACGAGACAGCAGATGAAATTTAACTGTGAATATGAGCTAAAGAAGAGAGACTGAAATAAAACAAGAGTGTCTCATAGTCATATGGTGAGGAAAGATCCCTCTAAATCAAAGGCGGGTGCAGGGAAGGAAGAGGGACAGGCTGTTGCATAAAGCGTTCGGGAAATAAAAGATACACAAACCAATTTGGTTAAGGTCGATGCTGTTCAGACTTGAGATACAGCAGAAACACTAACAGTGGAAAGGAATCTAGATTACGGCAGAGGATGTCTGAAGAAATGGCACTGAGCTGTGACTCTTAAAAAAGAGAGAAAGGCAGGCCTGAAGGAAAACTAGCATGCTAATTAGTTGAGAAAGTTAGAAGCAAATGAAACTTGCAAAGCAGCCTTCTTCTCTTCCTCTCCAGAGTGTTCTGTGCAGATCAGGCAATTGAATCTTTAAAAATCTAAATTTTATATGTACATATATATAATAATCAATAACTCTATTCTAAAAACTGAATCTTTGGAAGCGCTGGTGGAACCACTCTTTTTTTTTTTTTTTTTGAGACAGAGTCACGCTCTGTTGCCCAGGCTGGAGTACAGTGGCATGATCTTCACTCACTGCAACCTCCGCCTCCTAGGTTCAAGCAATTCTCCTGCTCCAGCCTCCTGAGTAGCTGGGATTACAGGCACATGCCATAACACCTGGCTAATTTTTGTATTTTTAGTAGAGATGGGGTTTCCCCATGTTGGCCAGGGTGGTTTTGAACTTCTGACCTCGGGTGATCCACCCACCTTGGCCTCCCAAAATGCTGGGATTACAGGTATGAGCCACTGCACCTAGCTGGAACCACTGTTGAACGATTCGTGCACCTGGAAGATTTAACCTGATAACTAGGCCCATGGCTTGTGTGAGGCAAGAAGTAATTCAACAGGTGTAATGGAGGCCAAAGAGATGACTTTCATTAACAAAAAGAAAACACTTACCTGTTTAAAGTATTTTAATGAGTACTGGTACATAGGATCTATTTCTGAGAGGCTTGCAATGACGAAGTACATCACAGAGCCTCGAGTAGCCACTGGACGATACTTCTCACGAGCCACATTGATCATCTGTTCAGTGGACTCTGCTTCTTCCAGCCTGGTTTTAACGGCACCAGAAGTGATCTGAATAAACACACAATAACAAGTTCTTAGGGATCTGTTCCAGAAAAATAGTGGGACTTTTGGAATGTATCCAGTTAGGTCTAGGGAAGAAATAAGGATAGAATGAGTTGGTGATTACAGTAAGGGGTCCTGAGTAGAAAGACTGAGTCTCAGGGCTTGGCGACCTTCTGAATAAGCTGACCTTTCTTCCTCTAGTGTTAAGAACAGGTGGAGGGCAACAGGCAATACAAGTAGCTTTGAAAACATAGGAACAGTACATTTCTGAGACTCAACCTGAGTTACTCCTACAATGCAAACACTAACACAGCACTCCTAATTGCTCCTGAACTTCTTTGTGAGAAGTCCAGGGCTCACACAATGAATGAAGGTATGAAAGGAGAAGGGATACCCAGGAAAATGCCCAAAAGAATGGAGTAGAGAGTTGCTGGAAGGCAGTGGCACCACATCCCACCCTGGAACAACAAGGGTGACTAATATTCTTATTCTTTACATAGTATTCCCAGGTACAGACATGTGGGATAGAAACTGTTTTTTGTGGAGGATTATAACCCTAAGTGAGTTACAGAAGATTTCGGGGTCTTTTGGTTTTCTGCACTTTGGGTTTCTGGGTCTGGGGAGCCCTCTGGCTAATGGACCTTCCAAGATTCCCTTCTCTGTGTCTTTCAGTCTCTCTCTTTCTTTTTTTATAAACTAATTAATTAACCTTGAAAAAAGAATATATATATATATATGTGTGTGTTTTTTGACATTTTAGGTTTTGGGGTACTGTGAAAGACATGCAAGATTGTTGCATAGGTACACACATGGCAGTGTGATCTGCTGCCTTTCTCCCCATCACCTATATCTGCCATTTCCCTCCATGCTATCTCTCCCCAACTCCCCACCCCCTGTTGTCCCTCCCCTATTTCTCCCCCACAGACCCCAGTATGTGATGTTCCCCTCCCTGTGTCCATGTGTTCTCATTGTTCAACACCTGCCTATGAGTGAGAATATGCATTGTTTGATTTTCTGTTCTTGT